GAGATGTACATATGTATTTAAATATATATGAATATGTTTTGGTTCGCGAAATGCTAAAGAGTGCTCGATATCATATAGATTTCAAGATCTACATGACCCGTTAAGGTTTCCTTTCCTTGCCCTATAATGAGCATCTTATAATCCAATTAAAATATCACAACAATTCCTAGGCACAAGAAAACTAGCATGATTAAAGAAAACATTTAGGTTTTTAAAATATACTTCGAATTTACCTCATTTTAATCTTTGTTTCACATTTTTCAGCGAAACATGGCTCACCAATGCAGTATTCGTGTATGACTCGCATAATTTTATTTTGGGTGTCTCGCATGGCTTGCAAAGTATTTCAATACCGCATGCATAACTAATTACTTTCGTAAGCGTTTGCGTGCAAGGGGCAGACATTCTTTATCCAAAAATTGAAAGTTTGCCGCCCTTTTTCTAAACCCAAGAAACTTAAAACAAAGAACACATACACAAAAGCGTTTTTTTTTAAAAAACTCTACTTAAGCCTTTATTATGTAAGTACAGGGTTAGGAAATCACATTAATATACTATCAGTTCTAAAGTCTTCCCCTAAAAGTCCCTTCCCTCAATTTTACATGATTGTTCTTAAATTTCGTTGCCATTAGAGTACACTCTCCTTTTTTCTTCGTCATGCCCATGACCAAATATCACAGAAGACTAGACTTCGTAGGCATTAAGGCAATTAAACCCACTCTACAAATACTTTAAAGTACCGAACGTTCGAAATAGTTCTATCTGCTGTAATTTGGAGGTAAAAAAGATAGTCGGTACCACGCATATTGTGTTTTTTGACAATGATTGTATTTTGCCTTTTGAAATTATACTTCTTTATGTGGATACCATTGTAATAAACCACAATTAACATCCTCTACTTTGTGGGTTTGCATGTGAAATAGATACAATTGATTTGTTCCGTCTGTAGACACGTTCATTTTTTTGCCTCGATCTGCATTTGTGAAGCTGTTGATCCAAGTCCAGTCTTCATTGTTGTATAATAATTAATTACACTGGTGATCATCCATACAGGCATTCGATTCGAAAGCTAATACAAAATAAACGTGATGTTTCCACATATAGCTACCAAACAATAATATTTTCGGCATGCAAACAAACAGAGAATTAATTATTACACCAACATCGTTACGAAGTATGAACATGCAAATCTCAGGTACATTAATGCTTGGGTCCCAGTTTGTGTATTTAGCGAAAATAGACAAAAAATCATAAAAGATATACGGTGTTGATTATTACCATTCAAGTTTTATATGATTTGTCAAAGGAGTTTCTAAAAGTTGACCTACTTTTCGTTGTCATGACAACGATCACGTGATGTATATTTCGAAAAACAACACAAAAAATTATACGTTTTATTCAAAGGCTCTTTAGCAGTATAGTTCGTGACTGAGAGGACGCAGAATTTCGATAAGCATTCACAAGTAATTTCACTATTTATTGAATGAATCGGAAAAGTTTACATTTAGACTTCGTTTCATTATTTTATGCGACTATATTACGATGATCGACATCAAACGATGTTAATCGCGTCATTAAATGTTATTTCCAAATAAATGTACGATTTCCAAATACACCCAAGAAACTTTGTATCCTTGTTAATGTTTTGAACTAATAAAAATAGCAAAACATTGTCGATTATCCTGCTGCAAGTCGAACGCGAATGAAGAATAAAAATAATGTTTTAGTCGTTGAAAAACCAACCAAGAAGGCCTCAATTGCAAACGAGCATGCAATTAATTTATATACTTATTTTGAACGAAATTAGCAAAACACTACAACAACTGTCAATCCTATACTTTTGTATGCTGTAACGACTGCCAATCTTATACATTTGCTAACCACATATACGCAATGTGTACCTATATATTTTTACAGAAAGCTATGCCGCCATACATTAAGTCGTAAATGTTTTGTTTGGAAAGCATGTCCTTCGACTATCCTAATTTGGCGGCGATTATAGCCTCTACCAAGTCATACAGACTGACCAAACGCAATTAACCTTTCTCACGTCTCATTTTTGGGTGGCTTTTTAGCCGAGGTCTGCGAGATAAGTCCACATAACAGCGACTTTCTATAATTTTTTGGACGAATGATGGTAAATTTGCTTTGTAAATGGTTAGTTTATTTTGAGAAATTGCTTATCACATTGTTTTAATATAATTGTCTGCATTGGTTAACGAGAATTAGATGCCACCCAAAAATGGCCGGCATTTGTCATCGTGACAAAGGCGACATTCTTCAGTTATCAGCAAAAGCTAGCCAAATTTTATCTCAGTTCACTCTGGTTTCAACGGTCTTCGAGACAACATAAAAGAAAAATTTTCCGTACACGAAAATGCCCGTGGTACATTTTTCTCGGATAAATCGAATCTTCCAAGTCCCGACGTTCAGAACCTGGAAAACGGCTGCTTTCTATCCACATCTGATCCACTTTAAACCGGTGAGTGCGTTTCATATTGTCATTATACATTATAAGCCGTTATGTTATCCACTGAAGTTGCTACGAACAGCATAAACCTACCAATGTTCGTCCATGGTAGAACGTTTTTGGAGCCATACTACGTGCGCAATTCGAGTACATCCCATGAACTGTCTAGTTTTTTGTTACCCGCATTTAGTTTACCAACATAGTGGCTATATTGCGCGACTTTGCTCTCACGAGGCAGTTATGAAAACGCAGGTCTAAGCCCATGCAGGGTCAACATGTGTTAGTTGGTGTTAATAGGACGATAATTTTATATATACAATATAATCCCATATATATTCGTCACTTACAATAATGTCCACCTCATCAACAAAATACCCTGCTTTCATGATGAAACATTTGGCCACAGGGCACAGGCATAAACAGAGTCGTCCTACGCATACTACACGTTAGCTATAGTCTGAAATTATACCCAAAACACAGTTTAGGCAGTTAGATACATGCCACATGCTTCTGCGTTCATCGACCACAATTTTATAGTATATAGCTACAGTATATGCTCATATTATGTTACTACTACCCGCGTACATAACATATTTTGCTTGAAAGCAGCTACATTTGCGCCCATTCCTCGATATGGCCAGTCAAATTATGCCAGTCTTGCAGAATACTCTCATCTTATATACTCTAACTCCTTGTGGTGACTGGTGAGGTATATTCCTGTTTTGTTTTGTTTTCCCCATGAACCACATTTGTAAGATAGAACTGATATCATTTGCCTGATACCGAAGAGGTAAATAGACTTCATTACTCTGTAACTCAATTTAAGATACCCTAAAACTGTAGCGCTAGCCGGCAGCTACAAGCCAATTTGAAGCATGCATAGCAAACAATATGACGCGATACATAAATCTCTAGGTTATAATATATATACATGTACTGTACCAACTACTGTGTCTGTGAGTAGTGTATGTCACCTAATCATATATTTCAAATCTCAATCAAGAATAAATTTTCAAACAACCACATAACTTCAGCCACGACACCATACTCCATATAGATATTTATATACACTAGATATCTATGCACGACACGCGTGTATGGATCGTTATCCAAGATATACCATACACGCGTATTATACATACATGCCCTTACTATACAATGGTCTACTCTCCAAACCCGGTGAAAACCCAAGAAATCCATTAACCAAATACTGCCTACAAAAGATTGCACAACGCAAAATCCCAAACTCGTGTATCTATAGACTATATAAGGTTTAAAATTACAAACAGGCAGAGGAAATACTGCTAGTGAAGGAATTTAAAGATCGTCAGTTTCTCGCTCGTTCAGGAATGCTCAGTTACCTCAGTACAGATTTAATTAACCCCACTGTAGAGGAAACATTTCCTGCCACGCTCGGTATTTGGACGCGGCAGAGCACACGAAGCCTCAATTCGCTGGCGGAGGTATATGCAGCTGGGTTAGACGATTTATACTGACGATTTATACTATACATTCATGGGTTTCCGCATATTTCTCTCTGGAATGCTTGGAAATTGCGCAGCCGAGATTTCGAAAATTTAATAGTAAATATGTAGAAAGCACCAAAATTGCTTGCACGCCATGACATCATATAACTGTAAACTACGACATATATATATATTCTCCTGTACAAAAACCCCAGTCTCACAAAATATGTCAACAGCGATCTTCGCATTTTATACCACAAATCAAATGGCACGCGCTATAATAATTGCAATACTACTACATGACATCATGATCACCTGCATTTGCATGGCGTTTTACAAAACCCAGTACTGTACATAGTAGGTACTTATATAGCGTACCAAAGTGAAAAGGTTTACGGCATATTTCACCAGATCAAGACAATTCCTAATACTATACACTGTTATTTCCGATGTTATTTCCTATTTTATGCCATCGCGCATGCACCCCACATGCAATTCGAACTAAACATACTTCACAGTTCACTACAGTGTATCACACGCCGAGACAAAGCCAAATCTAGGGGTAGTAGAGCACTCGCATTCCACTACAAATTTATTCATCGCGCATTGAAACCACTATTATCGGTCAGCTCATGATTACACAGAGCAGTTTTTGCTTTTATCCGTCTCTCTTTTAGTCATTCTGATACAAACGAAGGAAGGACATGAAGAAGATCTCAGGATTTGCGCCATCTTGGTTTCCGCCTTCCATCACCTATCTGGATCACTCCTACGTCCTGGTGGCTATGAACTCTCTACGTTTATATGAACAATTTATGACATAATCTACATTTTATTACCTGAACTATATACGTATTGTCCACTGTGCGGTGGCGTTCTGCTTTGGATTGCGACAAATTAATTCTGACCGTTTAGTTCCCTTATTTATGCTCAAAAGCGTAGTTTCATAACAACAAAAAAAAAAGAAAAGAAAAAGAAAACAAACCAAAAACAATAAACAAATAACGCTTAGTGGTGTCCAGCGCGATACTGACATTTCTTAATTTTGTAAAGATAAAGCTATATGGGGAGCTGCTGGTGGTCTTGGCCCTACCCAGGTTTTCCTGTACTGCAGGTTTTTTCCTGGCCTCCCTGATTATCCACCCGTAGCATAAGTGTTTGTATCTCGTGGACACCATATATCTTATTTGCGCAGCACGCCATCATTACATACTATAAAACACACATCTGTACCATACTATAAATACTTCATATTAACTATTTATAATTTTTTCCCGACCAACATGCTTCACGTGGGGGATCTACACTTTGTTTCGATCAATGGCGGAAAGTGGTGTCCACACGGCCACACTTCGCCCACGGTGAAGCACACACCGGCAAAAGAGAGCAAGGTCCATAACGGCGGGGGCCCTTACCCTCCTCCTGATCTTCGCATCTCTCGGTCACTTCACCACGGGGAAGCCCGGCTCGGACATGAGATTCAATGTCCATAACGGTGAGGGCCCTTACTCTCACCCTGATGTTGTTTCTCCAGCTTTTCTGGGGGCCCTTACTCCCAAGAAACCGCACTTTCCGTCACCCAAATTGGCCACAAAGGATTTGCGTGATTTATTAAGGAGCAAATTATTTTATAAAATAAATTAGGATTAATAAGAGGCAACATCCATACCGAAAACTATGTAACCTAAACGGAAACGATAAGCAAAGAAAACAACCGCCTACTCTCCGGGCAACATCTGCCAAGTGTCAATGCCAAACTGCCAATATAATCCCATTTTGCTAAGCCGACATTCTTCAGTTATCAGCAAAAGCTAGCCAAATTTTATCTCAGTTTACTCTGGTTTCAACGGTCTTCGAGACAACATAAAAGAAAAATCCCACCCACCCAACCCTTTGCTGAAGAAGAAGCATCCAATAATCAGGAACTATAGAACTTAATTAAAGAAATCAATTGTAATCATATCTATATTGTTCTGTTTTATCAACTTGTAAATAATTTTATACATTCAAGAAGAAATAAAGAAAGCGGGACGGAAAGTGGTGTCCACACGGCCACACTTCGCCCACCGGCAAAAGAGAGCAAGGTCCATAACGGCGGGGGCCCTTACCCTCGTCCTGATCTTCGCATCTCTCGGTTACTTCACCACGGGGAAGCCCGGCTCGGACATGAGATTCAATGACCATAACGGTGAGGGCCCTTACTCTCACCCTGATGTTGTTTCTCCAGCTTTTCTGGGGGCCCTTACTCCCACGAAACCGCACTTTCCGTCACCCAATTTGGCCACAAAGGATTTGCGTGATTTATTAAACATTGTTTTAATATAATTGTCTGCATTGGTTAACGAGAATTAGATGCCACCCAAAAATGGCCGGCTTTTGTCATCGTGACAAAGGCTAATAATGAAGTTTTTCTTGCAGTGTATTTGTTAAAAATAAGGAACAATTTGTGGTTACACCTAGTATTTAATTTTATTCTGTGTTAGGAATATATGTTTTTATTTGTTTTCTACGCGAGGTAGGGAATCGTTTACAATCAATCTCTAATAACTATCAGTTCTTAGTGTTCGTCTTCTTGCAGTAGTTTTTCAAGAGTTCACTTCAGCCTTCAACTGGCTTTCACTGTTCGTGATCTGTTAATTAATTTCTTCGTTTTGTCTTGTTTTGTTTGAGCTTTCTACAACTTTTCATACATAATTTTTACTTCGTTGAGTCCACTGTCCATTGAGAGGTCATCCACTGAATGTCCACTACCGAATTGGGGTTGTGCACGCACTTTTATACTAACGGTTGAGGGGATCTTTGTACACGTGATGTAGCAAGTGGTGTGATTTGTATCCAGCCAATCAACGTTGAGGTTTAAAAGTGTGGGTTGGCGTTGCTAGCTCGTTCCAGCTCTCAAATTCTGTTTATTTAAGGCGTTGTCGCACTGGTCGAGTTGGTTCGCTGTTCAATCGATCATCATTAAAACATGTTCACAACTTAAAATACTTATCAAAATATCATAGTAAAAACTTCAAACTACAGGGTGTATCAAAATAAACGCAATTCATCTTTTGTGCTTAATAACTTTCGAAATACTATTTCTAGTTAAACGCTTTTAGGCTTACTTCAAAGCCTGTTCTTTTCTCTTTCAAACAAACTATTATCCTTGTCTCCAATCCTAGTCATAATTGCACAGGAAAAGATTTAGTAAAACCTATCATTTTTAGTTGCTGTTTAATTAATTATGCAAGTTTACTATGTTATTGTTTAGTCGGTTTAAATGTTAGAATTTTCTTCTTTAAACTTTAATGTTGTCGTCACTACATCTGGAAAACCACGTAAGAACAAATTAAAAGTATTTTAAAGGAGACCAGGTTGTTTGAAAATCCTAAACGAATGCTAAAAATCGTCAAAACATTCTGGTGTCTGAGCCAGAGTGTCATCGAATTGCGATGTAATGTAAACAGAAATTATAGCAAGTTGATGTCAGTCAGCTTAGATGGTCCAAGCCAAAATTATTTCGCATTTGAAGTTTCAAACTGAGTTAAAAATAGTGGAAGAAAAGCCGTAATTATACTTATTGTTACAGTCCATTAAATAAAATGCAACATTTGTTTGTTTTAATGAAAAAATCAGTTATTTTCATGAGAACGATTATTTTGTTATTCCATCTCAATTTTTTTAATCTCCAATCACAATAACGTAAAGTATTATTACCCGCGAACCAATGAGTCAAATTTAAGAAACAACCCACTGTTAGAAAGCTGAATGGCTACGCTTTAAAATGAATGTAAACTTTAACGTTTTCGTCTATTAGACGGCCAGCCAACCTCAATAAAATGTCTCTAAAATGTCATTGATGGCATTTTTTGTTACAAGCTGGCAACTGGCGTTTTCGTATAGCTTAGGCACTGGAGAACAACGTTTGATAGGTTGCCACCTCTGATATTGACTTTAAAGTGAAAAATTTTGAGAATCTGAAAATTTTGCCTATGAAAATTACTATACTCACTAAATTGTGAAATTTGAAACAAACTTTCAGCAAAAATCACCTATATAATCAGAAAGTTTGGAAAAAAGTAGATATAGAACATTTAAGTGAGAAGTGTGAATTATAACCCTGTTTGAGTTACGGGTGCTTAAAGTTGCTAAAAAACAGGTTTTGTGACGTCATTCACCGCCTTTTACCTCTTTTTAAGTGTTCATAACTCGAATTTGGATAAATAAATCGTATTACTCGTTTAAATGTCTTATATGTACTTTTTTATGCTCTTTCTAACGATATAAACGATGCTAATTTAAGTGAAATTCAAATTTCACATTTTTTCGGGAGTATAATAATCTAATAGGCAAACTGTTCAAATGCTTAAAATTTTCTCTTCGTTCGTTAAAATCAGAGGTGGCAACATATCAAACGTGACTCACCAGTGTCTAAGCTATAAGAAAACGCTTGTTGTTTGCTTGTAACAAAAAATGCCATCGACAGTCATATTTTGATCGGCTGGCTGGCCGTCTATATTATTTGTTTAGCAATTTACATTTCAGTCGAGGATTGCGCTTTTTTTGATATACCTATGTGAACCTTACTTTACCTACTAAACTAAATTCACTTACAATTTTATTGAACCAAGAACTTGATGACGTAATGTTATCATTACTCAACCGCGCGAAATATACCGAAGAATGATTGACAGAAAGGCCCTAAGCATGCACATTTTCCATGTCAAAAAAGAACCAGCCTTGGACTTTGAATTATGTAAACACAACAGCCCACCATGCAAGGTTATCGTCCAACTTTGACAAATTATTTATCTTGCCTAATGGACAGATAATTTACACTTTTACACAAGTCCGAAATGATATATACTTTATCTGAGTTTTACAGCAAAAACGCTCATTATCTCTCGATTTGACGTAACTAGTATCTATAATTACCTGGGGTGCAAATTGCACTATTTTTATACTATTTTTAATACTTTCGTAACAATCCTTCCCGCCTGGATTAAGCTGCCCTCAGCTTTTGAGATATATAAAAAAATGACTATATATTGTTCATATTGTTTTAAGCTCGGCGTGGCTTAATACGGGCATATTACCAAATGCCTAATAACTGAGTCCATACATATAGTACATGTTAAATGACTAATTATATATGTTAACACTACATAAGAGATTATACAAGAAATATAATACTTATGCCTAAATGCACCTCAGGGGTAATCTACAATAATATATTTTAGCTATTACACGTGAGAATAAAGTAAGTCACACCAAAATGATTGTGAAAACAAAGCACAAAATTGTTCGTTTTCCTGAAAGTATATGTACCAGGGACTAAAAATGATTTTGTCGATTCAATCAAAACGTCTGCCGAAACTGATTTAATTTTCATAAAATAACTTACTTTTGCAACAGCGAAAATTTTATTCAAATTCTTGGTTGATAAACTGTACACAACAGGAAATTATTATAAAGCTCTTCTGAAATAATATCTCTCTATATAATAATAACCTAAAACCGAATATTTACTTTAAATATTCCTTAATATACTTCTTAATAAACATCTTACACTTCAAAAATTTTTCAAATACATGCAACAACACTTTTATACTTCTTAATATTACTCGAACTTATTTAATTTAACAAAAGTCATGCGTAGTGTATCAAACTCCAAAATGTAGGTTTTCATCCGACAGAAAATTAAGTATACCGAATCTACATAGAGAAAACAAAAATGTGCCTAATATTTAAACTTTTGGCTTGAGAGGAAATCCTAATCCGTACAAAAAGAATGGGAGACCCTTTGACTGTCCCGGGGAGAGAGAAAAATATAAAGTAATATACGAACAAAGTTAGAACACATAAAAATGATTAGTTAACAATTTTTTAAATCTGACCCAACTAATTTCATGCATGCGCTAACCTACGGCAACATGTATACGCGTTGAGTGTACCTAAGATATTTTGGTTGGCATAAACATATTCTCACGAGTCTGGCTAATAATAAGGAAAAATATACAAATCACATCCAATTATAGTCGGAAAACTAGTAATATATCATAAATGCAAATAATAAAATATATACAAAACTTAAGGGTGTCCAATTTCAAGTAAGTGTTCATGTCCGTCTTTATCGTGCGAGAGGCCACAGTTAATAACAATATCTGTGTCATGTTCGTACTTTCAACCACGGGGGTTTCCAAACGGTGTCCTCTGTGACGAGGGCCATATTACCACTTGGATTGTAGCACTCGGCTGGAAGGTTAACTTGAATTGCAAAGTGACCATCTGCCTGAACAATTGTCCCAGAAACTGCGGCCACAAGTTTGATGAAGAACAACAAAGCCAAATAACATCGACAGTTCATCTTGAAAATGATTTTATGACGCGTGGAACTATATCGTCAAGAGTATATCGCTTATACACGGGAAATACGTCTGCGCGAGGACTCGTAAGCTTTACCGGGATTTTTTTAATTAAGCCCGCATCCTCATACCACTTGTTACGAATATATGTTTTTAGTTCTTTTCTACGCGAGGTAGGGAATCGTTTACAATCAATTTCTAATAACTATCAGTTCTTAGTATTCGTCTTCTTGCATTAGTTTTTCAAGAGTTCACTTCAGCCTTCATCTGGCTTTCACTGCTCGTGATCTGTTCGTTAATTTCTTCGTTTTGTCTTGTTTCGTTTGAGCTTTCTACAACTTTTCATACATAATTTTTACTTCGTTGAGTCCACTGTCCATTGAGAGGTCATCCACTGAATGTCCACTAACGAATTGGGGTTGTGCA